TACAGACCCAGCGGGATCTCTGTGGCCCCTGCCCTGCCATGGGCGTTGGCCTCCTGTGCCGCCTGGCCTCCTGTCTCCTACCTGCAGGTGCGTCCTGGGCTGGGTGCCCTCTGTGGGTGAAAATTTCACTGTCCAGCATGAAGCTGCTCCCTGGTGGCTGCAGCATCTATTTCACTTTCTTCTCCACAGGTCTGGTGAATGCTGGTCTCACTCAGATTCCAGGTTCTGAAAACAGGTCAGAAAGTGACATTGCAGTGTGCCCAGGATTTGAACCACAGGACTATGTTCTGGTATTGACATGACCCGGGCCACGGGCCAAGGCTGATCCATTACTTAGCTGGTTTTGGGCTCACCGGCAAAGGAGAGGTCCCCGATGGGTACAGAGTCACTAGATCCAGAACAGAAGACTTCCTCCTCACGCTGGAGTCGGCCACCCCCTCCCAGACATCTGTGTACCTCTGAGCCAGCAGTGAAGCAGTGAGTGCACAGTGCAGCACAGCGCTGCACAGGTACCTCCTCTCTGCACAGAAAGCCTGGAGGAGGCCCTGGTGCCCCTGGGACTCCGGGGAGCCCTGTGCAAACTCTCACACATTGCAGCCCCCAAGGGCCTGACCTAGCAGGGCGGCTCTGGGTGTGTGATGGGTTCCACATCCAGGGCAGTGTCTGCCAGGCCGTGACCAGACCCACAGCTTGGACACACATGTATCCACCTTACTGTCCGTCTGTCTGTCCTCTGCAGCTGAATATTAGCTGGGAAGGTGCCCCCCAACACATGCTGGTCTTGTCACCAGCCTGAGTCCAATGCCATCAGGGTGGGCCGTCACTGGTATTCAGACCCGTCAATGCCCAATTGTACATCACACACAGGTGTCTTCAAGGTCAAAGGCGGGGAGTCTTCTTCCAGAGAGAAGCTATGAGAAACCTGTTTTTTATGCAGGTGACAAAGAAAGACATGAGGGATTTCTGGGGGCCGTGAAGACATGAAACCACATGGACCTTAATGAACACAGAGGGCACACCGGCCCTGCCCTGCAGGAGGCATAGGGGCTCCCAGCTCACATGCGTTCCTGGGGCGTCTCTCCCTCGTGCACCTCTGATACGTCAGAGCCTCCAGGGCAAAGCCCATTCAGCCCCGACACCCACCCTCGCATAAGAAAGGAGCAAGGTTGCCACCCTCACATAAGAAAGGGGCAAGGTTGCGCCTGTGTGGCTTAGAGGGGAGGCGATAATGAGAGAAACGGGGTGCTCCAGGAGATCCCGGATTGCAGAGAAGACAGTGAATTCACCCTTCGGTGTGTTGTACTGGTGATGCTCTTGGCATCTTAATGGCATTGCCGGCCAGCAGGAGTGACAGGTGAAGGAGACTCAGTGTGAGACCCCTGCGTCTGGGCAGCACAGGACCCGTAGTGACAGCCTTGCTTGGATTTCATTCCCAAAGGAGCTGATCACTATTTCAACTTCCGTCCAGAGGTGCTCGAACACACGTCACGTGTCCCTGAGGTGGAGGGGGCTGAGAGAAGCAGCCATGTCACTAAGGGAACGGCCTTGTGGGGACAAAGGACGTCCTTCCTCTTCTGCTCATGCTCACAAGGACCCTGGCCTGGCGAAGCTCCCATTCCTGTCCTGACCCCGCCATGGGCACCAGGCTCCTCTGCTGGGCCGCCCTCTGTCTCCTGGGGGCCGGGGAGTGCTCAGAACACCAAGCGGTTCCACTGTGTGTGTCCGTGTATTTGTGTGTGTCAATACCATTGATTTTCCTCATTCTATTCCCAAGTTCTATCTTGACAGGTCACACAGAAGCTGGAGTCTCCCAGGCTCCCAGTCACATAGTCACCCAGAAGGGACAGAATGTGTCTTTTCGGTGTGATCCAATTTCTGGCTACCTTGTCCTTTACTGGAACCGACTGAGGCAAGGGCACGGCTCGGAGTTTATGATGTACTTTCAAAACAAGCATGCTGTAGACTCCTGAGGGATGCCCAACGATCGGTTCTCTGCAGAGACCGGAGGGCTCCTCCTCCAGGCTGAGGATCCTGCCTGCAGAGCCGGGGGACTCGGCCATCTACCTCTGTGCCAGCAGCTCAGCCACAGCGTCGCACCCACAGCCCCTCCCTGCGCACAAACCTCCTGGGCTGCCCTCTGCTTCGAGTTCCCACACTCCCCTGCAAAGGAGCTGTCACCAGCGCATCTGCACAGGTGGCCACTTGAGGGCGCTGTGGATCCACAGAGAGAGATGCTGTTGGTGCCCCGTGGGAGAGGGAGGGTTAAGCGGGAGAGTCTTGGCTTGGTTGCTGCATTGGGGAAATTGTGTGGTGAATCAGCTTTTCTGACTTGATCTTCTCACATTAGTGGATTGGCAGGTGTGTGTCCCAGCTGGGAGTCGTGAACTTGGTCTTCCAGGGAGTTAGGGCCTCTCTTGGAGCCCGTGTTTGGCGCAGAACGTGATGGGGCTTTGGTGAGACAGCCTGGGATCCAAGCCAGGTGTGGAGCGAGGGGCACCGGCGCCAAAGCTCTGGGGCTGGCCACCAGCCCAGCACCCTGGGGGCCCAGCGCAGCAGAGCCAGCTGCACCTGCTATTGCACGATGGATGAAATCAGGGGACCCTAGACCAGAAGGTCCTCTCCCAGGGGTGCAGGGTACCTGTGGGAGACTAAAAAGACAGTGACATCAGAACTGTGCTATCATAGGCAAGCCCTGGAATGCGAGGAGAGGGAGGGGCCAAAGCTCTGCTGTCTCCCCATAGTGCCCAGAGCCCTGAGCAGAAACATGGCCAGTCCTGTCCTGCCTGAATCCCCGAGGGGCGCCCGGCTCCTCTGCTGCGTGACCCTGTGTCTCCTCCATGCAGGTGAGTCCTGAGCTCAGGAGGGACATCTCTACAACGCCATGTTCTTCACTGTGGCTCGAGAGTCCGTCTCCTCCCTGTGCTGGTCTCAGCTCTGCCTCCTTCCTCCACAGGGTCCATGGCTGCTGGAGTCACCCAGTCCCCAAGACACCTCATCAAAGGCCGTGGTGGGGAGGCCGTTCTGAAATGCCACCCCATCTCCGGACACAAGAGTTTGTACTGGTACCTGCAGGCTCAGGGGCAGGAACCCAGGTTCCTCATTCAGTATTATGAAAAAGAGGAGTACGGGGAAGGAAACCTCCCTGCTAACTTCTCAGGAAGGGTGTTCAGTGACTACAGCTCTGAGCTGGCTATGAATGCCTTGCAGCTGGGGGACTCGGCCGTGTACCTCTGTGCCAGCAGCTTAGACACAGCCCTGCACGGTCCGTGGCTCTCTGTACACAAACCTTCCTATCCCAGCTGATGTCACAGACAGAGGGAGGGGGCCTCGCTGAGTTCCACAGATGGGATTCATGCTTTCTAACACTCCCCTTGCCCTGCTGAGTTCGGCCACAGCCTTCCTGCATGACTTCCCAGCTCTGCCAGCGCTTGCAATTTCCAGCATGGGGCCGGAACGTCTCCTCAGTGGAAGGGTGGAGGTCCACGCTGCGTGTTGTCGCGCATGGACCCGGTCGACAGCGTGTGTCCATCTCACAGAGGAGGGAGGGCTCAGGGCACCCTCTCCTGGACAGGAAGCCGTAGCTCCGGGACGTTCCAGACGTTCCACGCACATCATCCCGCATCTCTTTGTCCCTGAAGTCAACAAGCCCCTAGAGTTCCACGGTCCTCCCAGGGCCTTGATCTGTCAGACAGAGCAGTGCACAGTCTCTCCCATTTCCCGAGCATCCTAGTCGGGGTGGGGAGGTTGACCTCGGGTGTGGCGTACACTGCTGATTGTGCGCCCACCGCTGGGGACTAGAGCTTGAGGCTAGAGGACGTGTGTCTGTCCTGTCATAGCTGTGGAGAGAACGAGGACATGATATGCCCCAAGGAGAGGAGCTAAGAGATGACGAGGATCCAGTCTATGAGGACACTCAGCCCGGGACACGGAAGCCATCCCGGAATGTCAGCAGCGCTCTGGGAGCTAATGCGAGGATGCGTGGTTCTACACCGCTGGACGGCAGAGGAGGGCCGGTCTCCGCTGCCCTCAGGTCCACCACTTCCGGTCTGAAAATCTGAAAGTGCTACGCCTGCCAGGTCAGGAGCTGCGGGCAACACCCCAGAGTCACAGCCTTTCCATGGGAGGATGCGCCACCCTCCTGCTGTCCTCTGATTTGTGACCGTGCGTCCTTTCTCACTGCTGGATGCCTGTAGGTGCCCACAGAGGTGATATCACGATATGCAGTCACAGAAACGGGGTCACCTCACACTGAGGTGTATCGTGCAGGGAAGTAGCAGCATGTGTGCCTCTGGCTGAATATCTCATCCATGTCTCCAATCAGCCTCCTCTCTTTCTCACTGAGCCCAGTCCTACCTGGCGTCAGGTCTCCTGCGGCCTCAGCGGGAACCAAGGGAGACTCTCACCTGTGAGCGCACGGAGCCCCGAGCACGGGGGGCAGGGCGCCCACCAGGGGCTGAACCGTGAGACAACGGAGAACGAGTCTCAGAGCCAATGACCCTGACCCCGAGGCCCTGAAAACTGTCTGGGTACCACGTAGTCCCTTAAACCGAGGGCATCGCTGTGGGCTGACAGTGAAATCACCCCAGAATTCGTGCAAAGAGAAAAACTGGTAGAAATCGTTCGGAGATAAAATTTGATCACAGAAGTTACCGAAGTAAGAGGGCTGCTATGAGCAGATACCCTAGTCTACAGTAATATTATGAAGAACTGTACAGTGTAGAAATAAGGAAATGTATCACTGTGCATCGCAGAATGCATTTCTTTCCAAAAGTCAGGGGGAGAGCATATTACGCTAAGATTTCTTTCAAAAAGAGACACATATGTTGTCCATGCTGCATGGTCACCTTTCTCTGTGACTGATTGGTCCCTGTGAGGGAAGGGTGTGGCAGGCTCCAGGTCACACATTTTTTCAGGACAGTGATATCACTGAGTGACTGAGAGGTTGAGTCGTATTTCCCCAGACGGAACTGGAAGACGAGGGACTCTGTCCTGGACCTGCAATGGTCCCCAGGCTCCTCTTCTCTGTGGCCCTGTGTCTCCTGGGGGCAGGTGAGTAGAGGTGGGCTTCCTGCCCTGGAACTCCCACACCTCAGCCAAGCGTTTGTCTGAGGATGGCAACATAGGCTCTGTCACTCTCTCTCCAGGACCCCTGGATGCAGGAATCACCCAAAGACCAAGGTACGTGATCACGAGGAGAGGAAAGAAGGTGACACTGAGCTGTCACCAGACTGATAGACATAACGCTTTGTCTTGGTATGGACAAGACCCGGGCCACGGGCTGAGGCGGATCTATTTCTCAGTGGGTGTTGGGCTCATCAGCAAAGGGCAGGTCCCCGAAGGATACAGTGTCAATAGATCAAATATCGAGGACTTCCCCCTCACGCTGGAGTCGGCCACCCCCTCCCAGACATCTGTGTACTTCTGCGCCAGCAGTGAAGGAGCAAGTGCACAGTGCTGCACGGCGGCCTCCTCTCTGCACACAAAGGCCCGAGGAGGCCCTGCTGCCCCTGGGTCTTGGGGAGCCCTGTGCAAACTCCTACCTGGGAGCCCCAGTCGCCTGTGCCGGCAGGGCACCCTTGGTGTGTGGTGGGATCCCCTCCAGGGCAGTGTCTGCCAGGCCAGGACCGCCCAGGGCCTTGGGCACACGTGTCTGCCCTGTGGCCGGCTGTCCGTCTACCTGTCCTCTGCTGTGGCTCAATTGGCAGGAAGGCTGTTGCGCCAGCTCTAGGTTTTCTTGTCAGCAGCGTGAGTCTGCAGTCTCTAGCGTGTGAACTCATATATAAATCAGGTCCACCTAGTTCCCCTTGTGCTTGACACACAAGTGTGTTAAGAGTTCAGAGTGTGGAGTCTCCTCCAGAAAGAAGCTATGAGAGACCTGTTTTTTATGCAAGGTGACTAAGAAGGACACGAGGCTTTGCTCTGCGCTGTGTGGAGGTAATACTACGTGGAGTTCAGCGTGAAGGGAGGGCACTCGCTCGTGTTTTGCAGAAGGAATTGTAGGTTCCAACTCACATACGTTCCCAGGACATCACCCGATCTGCGCATCCCGGATGTCACTGCCTCCAGGGCAAAGCCAAGTCACCCCGATGCCCACCCTCTCCTAAGAAAGGGACAAGGTCAAGCGTGTGTGACTGGGAGCGTGGAGGGGACGGTGACCGAAACCGGGAGTCCGGGAGACCCGAATTGCATAGAAGACAATGAATGGACCCAGGACGTTGTCCTCAGGTCCTGGAGACAAGGCCGGCAGACTTGAACGATGGGTGAATGAGACGCAGTGCGAGGCCCCTGCATCCAGACGCGTGGGATCCCATAGTGACAGCCGGGCTGGATTTAGTTCAGGCAGGAGCTTCTCCCTATTACACCGGTCACCCAAGGGTGCCCCTACATATATCACGTGTCCGTGAGGTCGAGGGGCCTGACAGAGGCAGGGATGGCACTGGGGGACCTGCCCATGGGACAAGGTATATGCATCCCCCTCTGATTCTGCTCAAGAGGACCGTGACATGAGGAACCTCCCCTTCCTGTCCTGACCCGTGGGCACCGGGCTCTTCTGCTGGGACTCGGCCGGGGCCCTTGTGCCAGGCACTCAACCACCGCGTGGTGCCGTCAGTCCCTCCCTGTGCACAAACCCTCCTGGTCTCTCCTGGCAGCTCCTAGGCTCTAACACTGCCCTTCTTGGCTCGTTGTTCCCCAACAGAAGACGTAGATCTGGACATCAGTGGTTTTTTGCGAAAACAGAGTCACAATTTACCTCCTGAAAAGCTATGGCTGTAATTTGGGGGGGTGGAAAATTCCTGTCACCCATCAATTGAGGGGTCTCAGAGCCAGCTCTGTGCTCCGAGGCAGGGACTGAATGTCACAGTCTCAGCCATGACTCACGTGCCCTGAGTCTGGCCCACCAGGTAGGACAGTGACAGTCCCTCCCAATGCAACTAAGCATTGTGGTGGCCGTTGGCACCAAATGTGTTTGCCCCGAGAACGAGCCCTCGAAGGCAGCTTTCCTGTCTCGCTGTCACTGTGCCCAGCGCCCAGTGGCTCCTGGGAGTGAGCAAGGCCTGGACTCGGGGAGCTCCTGGTCCTTGCGATGCCATCCGAGGGGCCCCCGCCCCGGCCTGGTCCCTCACGGACACCACCGCCAGCTCTAGACCCTGGCGCTCTCCTGAGATCACTGTTTGGCGCCAGTGTTTTCTCACGTCCCACAACACCTCTGTGTGATCCAGAATTAAGTCCTTGCTCAAATCAGTAGATGCACATCGTACAAATTATTCCTTAGTGGAGACTGTGCTTTGCTCATCTCAGTTCCCGCCGTCCTGGGCTTCCCCATTGGATTCTCCTTCCTCCACGATGGCTAACAAATTGCATGCGTGATATTTTACTCGTATTTCAACTTTATTTTTATTCACACACATTTGATTCCAGTCTTCAAGGTAATGTCGTTAACTTCCCAGTCTTTGCTGATCTATGCTGTGGAGATAATACGAAACGTCTTTCTTCTTGTTTGTATCAAGGTTATCTGTAGCAATGGAGATAAAAGAAAGTAGTTACACTTCAACTGTGTGTCTATCTTTCTACTTTAGACTGAATATTATTTCTTCCATTCCCGCTTCTCTCCCTCTGCCTTTCAGAAGGTAGTTTTAAGGAAGCAGATCCCAGACTAGAGCCGGAGACACCGTGATAGTCGTTGTGTAGAACAGGGGTGGGATGTGAAGCGTGGTAACTCAGGGGAGTGGGTCACGGGGATGAATGTGGGATTAGGGCTTCAGGATGTTGAGATGCCATTTTCAGGACACTGCTTCTGGAACCTTCACCCCGAGGACCATGCAGACACCTGCCAGCATCCCTGGGGACTTGGCAGAAGACACAGTGAGGAACCATCAGCCGTTGGCCACCAGATGGCACTGGGATGCCATTGACCTCTGATGGTCTCTGGGGAGACACTGGGAGAGCAGAGAACGGTTAAGAGCCTCAGGCAGGGCTCCCACACTGGGCAGGTGTGGGGGAAGATTCAGTCGTTGCCAGGCTACCTACAGCTATGGAAGAGGTGAGAACACCCTCTGAACGTTCAAGGACCCACAGCTGAAGGATGTGGGCACGTAGCCTTGCAGGCAGGGGCAGGTGGAGACAGAGAATTAACTGTCCCCAAGGAATGTGGGAAAGCAGGGGTGGCCCAGGAGAGGACAGATAAGGGGACTCTGGGCTCCGTGTCTGCAGCGGGAAGCAGGTGGATGCACTGAGGGCCCGGGACACGTGGAGCTGGCAGAGGCTCCTCCCTGCCCAGGAAGGGGAGGTGAGCCAGACCTCAGGAGGGGCCGAGGAGATGGTGCCCTGAGTGCACAGGGGAAGTTCGGGTGTGAGTGTTGTGCTGGCAGGAGCTTGGCAGTTAGTGTCAGGCAGGAGCAGACCGAGGACAATAGTGTGTGTGCATATGGGGACAGTGTTCAAGCTGGAGCCAACCCTCAGCCGTGGGGCCGTGGGGCGATTCTATTCGTGCATTCCCCGAAAGGGCGGGGAATGACGAATAGAATCTCGGCTCCGGGTTGCACCAAGGGTACGGAGCACCAAGGGCCAGCCTGCAGGAGGTCACATCAGTGCAGCGATGTCATCAGGGCGGTGATGTCATAGTCAACTGCTCCTATCAGCCAACGGGTAGGGCAGGACTTGAGGCCGCTGGCCTCAGGAGACCCGTCCTGAGCTGGGAGACGCCGTGGAAGGCTGCCATGGGCCCCGGGTTCCTCTGCTGTGTGGCCCTTTGTCTCCTGGCTGCAGGTGAGCCCTGGACACTGGTGTGAGTCTCGGGCACACAGTGGCCATCCCTGACGGACAAGCCAGCAGGTGGCGGCCGCAGCGGGAGGCCCCCTGAGCTCTGCCCCAGTGTCTCTCTGTCTCCTCCCAGCAGGCACAGAGGGTTCTGGAGTCACGCAGACCCCAAGACATCTGATCAAAGCAACCAGGCAGCAAGTGACACTGACGTGTTCCTATGTCTCTGGACATCTCTCCGTGTTCTGGTACCAACAGATTGAGGGCCAAGGCCCTGACTTCCTCGTTCAGTATTACAACAAGGAAGAGCGACAAAAGGGAAGGAACATGCCCGATCGGTTCTCCGTGCAGCAGTTCGATAACTACAGCGCTGAGCTGACGGCTCGCTCGCTGGAGCTGAAGGACTCGGCCCTGTATCTCTGTGCCAGCAGCTTAGCACAGCCCTGTGGGACCGGCAGCCGCCTGCACAAAAACAGTCCCCCAGCTCAGGAAGTGACAGTGAAGTGGCAGCTGCCAGGCAGACGGGCTCAGGCGGAGGAGGGTGGCCTGCCTTCCCGAGGCACTGCCCTGCTGCTCACGGAGGAGCCGGGGGGGAAGGGTTGTAATGCTCGCAGACATCGTGCAGCTTACCTTAAGTATCATTGTAGCTCTTTTATACGTGATTGGAAATTCCATTCCCGGGTCTCACATTTCAGAACCCCTGGAGCAAGAAATCTCTGAGATGTGTGCCACCACAACTGTGAGTGTGCTCTCCCACACCGACTCCCGGGCCACGCCCACATTGTTGCCCCTTTTCCAGGTTTGGAGGAACAGGCCTGGGAAGACCAGGCATCACCTGGGACTGACCACCCCTTCCCCGACAGCGTCAAGGGACATTTGACATAAAGGCAATGAACAGTCATGGAGCCTCCATGCTGACAGCAAAGAAAGGCAGTTTTCCTGCTCTGTGGCCCTCGCCTGGACCCATGCAGAGCCCAGGAGCAAATTTGGGGTCCTGCCACGCGTGGGACCGTGTGGAGGTTAGCAAAGGTGTTTACGGACTCATCACCTTTGTTATTTAATTAACATCAGCAGTCCTTCCCAGGGATAGTCCCCGTGGAACAATGTCTCAAATTTATAAAGAGTGGTTTTCACTCTCTCACTTGGAGGCAGCACCTGTCCCAAGTGGCTCGCAAAGCTACAGTCCTAGGGACCTGCATGTCCCCTGCAGGGCTGAGCACCACGGGAAAGCTGTTTCCCAAGGGGTGAGGTGATGTCCTGGCCACTGCTTCTCCTGAACACGGGGAGCATGTGCGCAGGTGAGTCTGAAGGGGCTCTGGCGCATTAGCCTGGGATCCCATCGGTCGGAGGATGGGGAGAAAACAGAACCAAAGGATCCCTCAGTGTTGACGAGCCTGCCCCCAAGGTTCGGCCACCAGAGACGTGGAGGTCGCTGTGGGTGGAAGGACCGGGAGCGGATGCAGGTCCATCAGCAAAGTGGAAAAGGAGGCTGAGGGGCCGTGGGACCCAGGAGTCCTAAAGGGCATCAGAAAGCCGTCGGGGTTTCCTCTCACATTCAGAAGCGCAGAGTTGTGCGCACACACCAGCCAGAGAAGCAGAAGATCTATAGCACAGGAATACATTCACCTGAAGGCACCCACTGTGCACACACAAGTCAGAAAGTCTTGTCAGACTTGTGTCAGTTCAGCCAAAAGTGTTCTCCTCATTCTAAGCAGTTTACTTGCACATTTGATTTTCATTTGATGTCTGAGGAAGGGGCGTGTCCCTGGTGACAAGCTGGCTCTGGGGCCCATGCAGTGCGTGACATCTCAGAATGATGCCCTGGAGAGCCCTGTTCCCTTTCATCTGCCTACAGACCCAGGGGGATCTCTGTGGGCCTTGCTCCTGCCATGGGCGTCGGCCTCCTGTGCTACCTGGCCTCCTGTCTCCTACCCTCAGGTGGGTCCTGGGCTGGGTCCCCTTGGTAGGTGCAAATTTCACTGTCCAGCATGAAGCTGTTCCCTGGTACCTGCAGCATCCGTTCCACTTTCTTCTCCACAGGTCTGGTGAATGCTGTCATCACTCAAACCCCCAAATTCCAGGTTCTGAAAACAGGTCAGAAAGTGACATTGCAGTGTGCCCAGGATTTGAACCACAAGACTATGTACTGGTATCGACAAGTCCCAGGCCACGGCCCGAAGCTGATCCATTACTCGGTCGGTGTTGGGTTCATCGGCAAAGGAGAGGTCCCCGATGGGTACAGGGTTAGTAGATCCAGTACCAGGGACTTCCCCCTCACGCTGGAGTCGGCCACCCCGTCCCAGACATCTGTGTACTTCTGCGCAAGCACTGAATCCACAGCGCTGCACAGGTGCCTCCTCCCTTCACAGAAAGGCTGGTGGAGGCCCTGGTGCAGCTAGGACTTCGGGGAGCCCTGTGCAAACTCCTACACATCGGAGCCCCCAGTGGCCTGATCGCAGATGCCCTTTGGTGCGTGCGCCGGTCCACGCCAGGGCAAAGTCTTCCAGGCTGGCATCAGAACAAGGGCCTCGGCAACACACGTCTGAACTGCGGCTCTCTGTCTGTCTGTCTGCCTTCTGCAGCTGAATATTAGCTGGGAAGGTGCCCCCCAACACTTGCTGGTCTTGTCACCAGCCTGAGTCCAATGCCATCAGGGTGGGCCGTCACTGGTATTCAGACCCGTCTATGCCCAATTGTACATCACACACAGGTGTTTTCAAGGTCAAAGGCGGGGAGTCTTCTTCCAGAGAGAAGCTATGAGAAACCTGTTTTTTATGCAGGTGACAAAGAAAGACACGAGGGATTTCTGGGGGCCGTGAAGACATGAAACCACATGGACCTTAATGAACACAGAGGGCACACCGGCCCTGCCCTGCAGGAGGCATAGGGGCTCCCAGCTCACATGCGTTCCCGGGGCGTCTCTCCCTCGTGCACCTCTGATACGTCAGAGCCTCCAGGGCAAAGCCCATTCAGCCCCGACACCCACCCTCACTAAGAAAGGGACAAGCTTAGCCTGTGTGGCCGGGAGAGGAGCGGGGATGATGACAGAAACAGGTGCCCCAGGAGATCCCGGACTGTGGGGAAGACAGTGAATTGCCCCTTTGGTGGTTGTACCGATGATGCTGTTGACATGTCCTGGTGACAATGCCACCCAACCTGGCTGACAGGCGAAAGTACTCAGTGTAAGACCCCTGCGTCCAGACAGCAGGGGTCCCCAGGGACAGCCATGCCTGGATTGTTGTAGAAGGAGCTGATCACTATTTGAACTGGCCACCTAGGTGTGCTCTAGGCTGCATCACATGTCCCTGAGGTCAAGGGGACCGAGAGAGAAAGTGATGTCACCATGGGAACAGCCACACGGGAACAAGGGACGTCCTTCCTCTTCTGCTCATGCTCACAAGGACCCTGATGTTGCGAACCTCCCATTCCTGTCCTGACCCCGCCATGGGCACCAGGCTCTTCTGCTGGGCCGCCCTCTGTCTCCTGGGGGCTGGTGAGTGCTCAGAACACCAAGCGGTTCCAGTGTGTGTGTGTGTGTGTGCGCGCGCGCACACGTGTGTGTTAAATATAATTGTTTTACCTAACTCTATTCCCAACTTCTGTATTCCCAGGTCATACAAGTGCTAGAGTCTCTCAGGCTCCCAATCACGTAGTCACCAACAGGGGACAGAATGTGTCTTTTCAGTGTGATCCAATTTCGGGCCATGTAGGCCTTTACTGGTACCGACAGAGGCAAGGGCACGGCCCGGAGTTTTTGATATCCTTTCAAAGCAAAGAAGCTACAGACTCCTGAGGGATGCCCAACGATCGGTTCTCTGCAGAGACCGGAGGGCTCCTCCTCCAGGCTGAGGATCCTGCCTGCAGAGCCGGGGGACTCGGCCATCTACCTCTGTGCCAGCAGCTCAGCCACAGCGTCGCACCCACAGCCCCTCCCTGCGCACAAACCTCCTGGGCTGCCCTCTGCTTCGAGTTCCCACACTCCCCTGCAAAGGAGCTGTCACCAGCGCATCTGCACAGGTGGCCACTTGAGGGCACTGTGGATCCACAGAGAAAGATGCTGATGGTGCCCTGTGGCATAGAGAGGGTTAAAGGGGGAGAGCCTTGGCTTGGTTGCTGCATTGGGGAAATTGGTGAATCAGAGGGTTGTTGATCATATCTTCTGTCCTTAACAGACATGCAGGTGTGTGTTCCAGCTGGGAGCCATGAACTTGGTCTTCCATGGAGTCAGGGCCTCTCTTGGAGCCTAGGTTTGGTGCAGAGTATGATGGGGCTTCCGTGAGGCAGCCTGGGAAATTCAAGCCAGGTGTCGAGCACGGGGCATCTGCTCCAGGCACAGAGAACCTGTGGGGATGGCCATGTGCCCTGGACCCTCAGGGCCCAGCTCAGCACAGCCGGCTGCTCCGCTCACAGGACAATGGCTAGAATCGGGGATGCCATGGGAACCGAGCCTGTCCCAGGGGCCAGCGTGACAGTGGGAGCCTAAAATGACAGTGACACCAGCACAGTGACGTCACTAGCCAGTTCTCCAAACAGAGCAAATCCTCTGCCTTCTCATCCCAAGACCAGAGCCCTGAGCCCACACATGGCCAGTCCTGTCCTGCCTGAATCCCCGAGGGGCGCCCGGCTCCTCTGCTGCATGGCCCTGTGTCTCCTCCATGGAGGTGAGTCCTGAGCTCAGGAGGAACATCTCTACAACGCCATGTTCTTCACTGTGGCTCGAGAGTCCGTCTCCTCCCCGTGCTGGACTCAACTCTGCCTCCTTCCTCCACAGGGTCCGTGGCTGCTGGAGCCACCCAGTCCCCAAGACACCTCATCAAAGGCCGTGGTGGGGAGGCCGTTCTGAAATGCCACCCCATCTCCGGACACAAGAGTTTGTACTGGTACCTGCAGGCTCAGGGGCAGGAACCCAGGTTCCTCATTCAGTATTATGAAAAACAGGAGTACGGGGAAGGAAACCTCCCTGCTAACTTCTCAGGACGGGTGTTCAGAGACTACAGCTCTGAGCTGGCTATGTATGCCTTGCAGCTGGGGGACTCGGCCGTGTACCTCTGTGCCAGCAGCTTGGACACAGCCCTGTAGTGTCCGTGGCTCTCTGTGCACAAACCTTCCTGCCCGAGCTGAGGATGTAACAATATAGGGAAGGGCCTTGGGTGAGTTTCACAGATGCTTCTAGCTCTTGTCTAACACTCCCCTTGCCCTGCTGAGTTCGGCCATAGCCTTCCTGCATGATCTCCCAGCTCTGCCAGCACTTGCAATTCCCAGCATGGGGCCGGAACGTCTCCTCGGTAGCAGGATGGAGGTCCACGCTGCATGCTGTCGTGCATGGACCTGGTCGACAGCGTGTGTCCACCTCACAGAGGAGGGAGGGCTCAGTGCACCCTGTCCTGGACAGGAAGCTGTAGCTCCAGGACATTCCAGGTGTTCCACGCATGTCATCCTGCATCTCCTTGCCTCTGAAGTCAAGAAGCCCCTAGAGTTCCCATGGTCCTCCCAGGGTCCGATATGTCAGATAGAGCAGTGTGCAGTCTCTCCCATTTCCCAAGCATCCTAACCAGGGTGGAGAGGTGTGGTGTACACTGCTGATTATATGCCAACTGCTCGGACATAGAGCTTGAGGCCCGCGGATGTGTGGCTGTCCTGTCAGAGTTCCAGAGAGAGAGAAGCCAGGATATAATCTTAAGGGAGAAGTTAAGTAGGAGGGGGCTATCCAGCCTATCAGGAGATTCGGTCAGGGACACAGAAGCCCTCCCGGAATGTCAGCGGTGCTCTGGGAGCTAATGCGAGGATGCGTGGTTCTATACCGCTGGATGGCAGAGGAGGGCGGGTCTCGGCTGCCCTCAGGTCCACCACTTCCGGTCTGAAAATCTGAAATTGCTACGTCTGCCCAGGTCAGGTACTGCAGACAACAGCACAGCATCACAGCCTTTTCCTGCAATGATGCGTCAACCTTCTCTTGTCCTCTGATTTCTGACTCAGTGTCCTTTCTCACTGCTGGGTGACTGTAGGTGCCCATTGAGATGACATCAAGATACGCAGTCGCAGAAATAGGGTCACCTCACACTGAGGTATAACGTGTATAAGAAATAGCAGCACATGTGCCCCTGTCTGAATATCTCACCCATGTCACTAATGAGCCTCCTCTCTTTTTTAGAGAAAGTACAGTCACGGGGACATAGGTTTGCAGTCACCCAGGGCCTCAGCTGGGACCAAGGGAGACTCTTACCCGTGAGCATGCAGAGACCTGAGCACGTGTAGCAGGGCTCCCACCAGTGGGTGAACCAAGAGACAATGGAGAACAAGTCTCGGATTCCAACAACCTCAACCTGGAGGCTTTGACAACCCTCTGGGCATGAGGTCATTCCTTTAACTGAGAGGGCCACCGTGAGCTGACATTGAAATTATTTAGAATTCATGGAAAGAGAAAAACTAGTATATAGTAAGTGAAGCTACATTTTGAGCAGAGAAACCCTCCAAAGTACCAACAATTTTGTTAAAATTGTAGCAGTATAAGGGATTGTATCGTTATGCATAGAGGATGAATTTCCTTACTGTAAGGCAGGAAAAAAGAATGTACTACTTATCCAACTTCTTTAAAAACAGACTACTTGTTTTTCCCGTGCTGCACCGTTAAACTTTCTACATGTCACTGATTGGTTCCTATAGGAGAGGGGCGTGGCAGGTGAGCTCTGCATCGCAACCATTTGTCAAGGACAGCGATGTCCCTGAGTCACTGAAAGGCCAAGTTCTATGTGCCCAAACAGAACTGGAAGACGTGACACACTGTCCTGGACCGGCAATGGTTGCCAGGCTTCTCTTCTCTGTGGCTCTGTGTCTCCTGGGGGCAGGTAAGTACAGGTGGGCTTCCTGCCCTGGAACTCCCACAACCTCAGTCCAAGGTTTTGTCTTAGGATGGCGACATCAGGCTCTGTCACTCTCCTTTACAGGACACTTGGATGCCAAAGTCACCCAGAGTCCAAGATACCTGGTCACAGGGACAGAAAAGGAGGTGACAGTGAAGTGTGACCAAACTTATAACCACGACTACATGTACTGGTATCGACAAGACCCAGGCCATGGGCTGAGGTTGATCTATTACTCATATGGTGTTGGCATGATTGACAAAGGAGAGGTCCCCAATGGGTACATTGTCACCAGATCAAACACAGAGCACTTCCCCCTCACGCTGGAGTCGACCACCCCATCCCAGACATCTGTGTACTTCTGTGCCAGCAGTGACTCCACAGAATTGCACAGCTGCCTCCTCTCTGTACAAAAAGTGTCTTTAGAAAGACTGAGGTTGCACTCTGAGTCCTGGCCCCAACCCCAGGAAGTCCCTGCCAGTGTGGGGGCCTTGACGCAGTGGGCAATATGACCGTCAGGGCTGAAGCTCATCTCTGCACCATTCTCAGCCTGACTGGAGGCCACTCCACCCCACCCCACTTAGCTAGCGGATCTGTCTTCTGCAGCTCTGTCTCTCTCTCTTCCTGCTGGCAGAAAGGAAAATGCATCGTAAGTTGAGCAATATGAGGATTCCTCCAATAATCCCAAAGTCCCCACATTCTTCTCTCTCCTACGGGCTTCAGTGACTTCTTCATCTACCCTGGTCCCCATCCTCTAGTCCCTTCAATTTAAAGCCATAAACTTTCGTTCAGATGGATCTGCTCCTGGTTGCCTTTCTCCTATAGGACAATAGCCCTACAAGGTCCTATAATGTTTGCCCTTCACCTTGCCCTTGACCTCCATGGCCATCTTGTACAAGCTTCTTCCGCTCTCCCTACCCCAGACTCATTCATCTACACTCAGCTGCTCCCTCAGATGTGCCACCTCAACGATCTTTTTCACAGACCATTTCTTCTGCATGGAACCTATGTCCCGCCCTCTTATTCCGAGATCTCCATTCCTTACATAAAAATACATTTTAGGCCTACTTACTCTCAAATGTGGAAAGCAAAACTTAGATTTTACTAGGAGAAATGAAGGAAATATATTTAGACATTCATTTGAGGAAGGGTATTTTTTTTTTTAGCAAAGACAGAAAAGAACACAAAAGTATTTATAAAGTATATAAATATTTATAAAAATAATGTAATATACAAATACTGACAAACATCTTTCTAATTTCAGTTGCATTAAATTATACCCTTGTACATTAAAAAAACACCACAAATACACTACAAAACACAAAAAAGTTGCAGACTGGGAAGAGGAATGGAAAACAACAGGCTGCATTCAAGTGACAGACCCCTCATATTCGTCACATTCCCAGGCTGTTCTATGATCCCCAGCTTCGCTTGTCAATATAGGGGCAGGGGAACCTATGACCAGGTTCTGAACAATGTGATGTGGATAAACATTATGAAAGCCAGTTCCAAGCCTTGCCTTTAAATATTCCTGGTGGCACTGTGTGAGGGACCTCCAAGTACCTACCCAAGTTTGGATATTCACTACAAGGACTCGCAGAGGAGAGTCAGGAGCCAGTCGGACCCTCAGAGACCCCTGCAAATGGAAACAAGTGTCCTGGAAGACCATCAGAGAAACTCCTATGCACAGCTGGACCCTGAACCTCACCCTTTCAGGGTTGTGTTCAGGTTGTGTGCCCTAGCGACTGTAGAGGGTGATGCAAGGGGAATGTAAGAGAGGAGAAGTCATTCCGGACCTTGTCTGGGTTGATCTCAAGTTGCTGCAGTAACACTTGCTGCAAATATCCTTAACAAGAATCAGATTTTCACCCTGGCTGGTGTGACTCAGTGGATAGAGCGCTGGTCTGTGAACCAAAGGTCCCTGGTTCGATTCCCAGTCAGGGCACATGCCTGGGTTGTGGCCGAGGTCCCCAGTAGGGGGTGCTTGAGAGGCAATCACACATTGATGTTTCTCACCCTCTTTTTCTCTCTTCCTTCCCCTCTCTAAAAAATAAATAAATAAAATCTTAAAAAAAAAAAAAAGAAAAGAAAAGAAAAAGGAATCAGATTTCCCAGAACCCCCACCTTTCCTCCACGGAGCAGTAAGACGTGACGTTCCTGCCCGGACACTGCTCTTGTCCTGGGTCTTTTCAGGTGAGCTGCCCGGGAAGCAGGGAGAGCCAGGAATCTGTGGGGGTGTCTCCTCTGGAAGTGGCATACCTCGGTTTCAAGCATGTTGTATGTAGCTTGATAGGACCCATCTCCAGCTGCCCTGTCTTTACCCTAATTCCATCGCCACTCAATGTGTTTAACCCCTGGTCACACGGATGGAACAAGAAGTGGCACCTCCATGTGAGGGGTTTTCCCATCATGGAATTATTATCTGGAGCTAACGTACTGGACTCAACCAGCGGCCTTTCTATCTCTACGACGGAGCATTTATGAGGGAGACAGATGGCTCTGATTATTCTGCACCGCCCAGCCTTCAGCTGATCACCTGATGCAGACGCCCTAGGGCTCTGGGACTCAGCGCAATGCCTCTGAGCACATGGCTGCCTGTTTCCACCTTCTGGGCCACACAGGTCCTTGCTTTCTTCTTCCATATCAACTTTCAGGGCCTTCTTCAGGCCTCTAGTCCTTTCCGCCTCACCACTCAGCCCAGGAAAGGAGGTGTGTTGAAGCCAATGTTGCCCCATTTTTTAAATTAAATTTAGTTTAATTTAATTTTATCATCATTATTTTTTTAATCCTCACCTGAGGACATGGTTCCATTGACTTTTAGAGACAGGGGAAGGGAAAGAGAGAGGGAGACAGAAAGAGAAACATCAATGTTAGAGAAAAATATAGATCCGTTACTTCCTGTTCACACCCCAGCTGTGGATCAAACCTGCAACCTAGGTATGTGCCCTGAGTGGAAATCGAACCAGCAACCTTTCAGTGCATGGGACAATGCTCTAACCAACTTATCCACGTGGCCAAGGCTGTTGCTCCCTTTTTTCAAAAGCCAAATACTAATCAGAAATTCACCTGGAGGTCATGTTAGAGGTGTAAGTTTTTGAAGACTCCAGAAGGTCTGTTTTATTTTGTACTGCTGTTACTGTGTCTTATCCCTGATATTTTCAGGGATAAGAGACCCCTCCACCCATCCCAGATAAGACAGACCTCAATGACCTGGAAGCTGGCCTCACCAGGATGAAGGCTTCAGTGCATTGTGCATCGTGGAGACTGGTGAAAGCAGAGAGGAACTTCCAGCAGAATAAAAGCTTCCTACTTCAATCTATGCACAGGGCTTCATTTTATCTCTCATTCTACCTCCTAGTGTGCCAGTTTGTTCCATGTGCTTCTAGGCTAAAGTTGCGGGAATTCCCCCACCTTCCACTTTGTCTAAGCTGATGTGCCTGGGGGAATGGAGAACATCATAAAAGAGAAACATCAGAAGAGAAGGACCATCACAGATAACACAAGGGTCATTAACCGAAGGGCCTTGACCGCATCCAAGAAGAAACATCCAGCGAAGCATTAGAGGAGGGTCCTGGCAGATGCAGAGACGGGGTGGCGGCTCCAGGCACTCAGGCCCCGGCACAGTGAGTGGAGGACGTTGTGTGAGCTCACACATGGCCCACAGATAGGTTGAGCAAGCTTGTAGGTATGTTTCAGTTTATAACAATTGATTTTTAAGACTGTGCATTTGTAGAGACAGTGAAGTCACTGTGGGGACAAGGGACGTCCCTCCCCCTCTGCTCATGCTCACAAGGACCCTGACCTGGTGAACCTCCCATTCCTGTCCTGGGCACCAGACTCCTCTTCTGGGTGACCCTCTGTCTTCTGGGGGCCGGTGAGTCCTCAGAACAACAAGACCTCTGCATTTTTTCTTTGCAGGGGTGATTCCTCTCATTTCTGCTTCCTTTGTCTTTTCCCCTCACAGAACCCACAGAAGGTGGCGTCGTCCAGTCTCCCAGCTGTAAGATCCTATAAAAAAGTCGGGCCACAGCTCTGTGGTGTGATCCTCTGGCCACCAAACCCTTTACTGGTACCAGCAGACCCCGGAACAGGGCCTGGGGCTTCTGGTCCACTTTGAGAATGAACAAGCAGTGGATGATTCACAGTTGCCTAAGGACCGATTTTCTGCGCAGAGGCCCAAAGGAACAGACTCAACTCTCAAGATCCTGCGTACAGAGCTGGGGGTCTCGGCAGTGTATTTCTGTGCCAGCAGCTTAGCCACAGAGTCACAGAGATGCTTCCTTCCTGTGAAAGAAATATCAGGCTTCTTCTCCTCTCTCTGCTCTGCTCCCAGCAGCTCTGAACCCAGGCCTTCCCTTACTCCTCACGCATGGAGAACAACTGAATCTGCAGAGACAAGCTGGGATTCGTGTGAAGGGAGGACATGAATTATTTCTTGAAACATCAGGGCTGAAAAGGTTTGAAAATAATTATGACTCGGAGATTTGAAGGGCTTTTTGGTGGCAATTCAAGGATGCAAAACTGAAAGTGACTTCTGTCTCACAGACTGCGCCCTCAGGCGCTGATGAGGATTCTTCTCTTATAAAAAATATGCAATCACCAAAAATGTACAATCCATTTTAATAATAATACAGATAGTGATTCTAGGAGAGCAGCAAGCAGCAGGCTCTCCCTTTGTGGTTGCTTTTACCCTCTAAATGATTTTAATTGCTATCCTTCACTTTCTAGCCTCCTCTCTGCCTTTCTTGTCAAATTTTCTCCATCAAAACCTCAAGACATAGTAAGAGATTGGAAAACATTTTCCCCCCTATTTCATGGAAATGTGTTAATAATAATGATGTCGTTGATGATGGTGATGATTTCAGCTTTTCTTATTCAGCTCTTTTCCTACTTTAAAGGAATACACACAAACGGATATCCTGGCAACCAGTCCCAAAACTCAGCTCAAAAATCACTCCTACTTTCTCCGGGGAGAGGTCTGACTAACCCTTCAATGTAAGCAGCACAGCTCAGCACCAGACGCAGGCCAGAGCCACCCAGCTGGGGAGATGTTGAGGCTGGTTCCAGCTGTCTGCCCTCGTGCATTAAAATAGCTCCTTCATGCATTAAAACAGTCTTAAGTAAAAACTTCTGAAGCAATCAATCACCCTTGATTCAATTACCCTGTCTGATAATACTGTCCCTTCTCTGTGTCGAGGTGCATACTCTGTACTCCAACTTCTGCCTGGATTCTCAAAGATCAGAAGTCAGTTTAACGCACCGGTTGGAACTATTTGGAAAGCAGCGTACTGAGGTTTTCATGAAGGTGCCATTGTTGCTGCTCAGCCCCTGCCGGCTCCACTTCTTTCTTGTCCACCTAAGGCTGCAAGTCACTGTGTATGTCCACTTACTATGTATCCCCTCATCTCCTCTGCCCATGTCTCCCTCCAGCTGCCGTATTTGACAAAACTCAGTCGCTGTTGAGAACAACTATCCACCCTCTGCTCGCCAGAGGTTTTATGTGGTTGTTTTT